ATGTGCTGGTCTTTCCCTTTTTGCTAAATATTTACAACCTTCTCTTCGTGGCCATATGCTGCTGGCAAAAACTACTATATAAAATTATCCTTTATTTCAGTCGTCATGCACTCCTCACATCTTTTGCAATCCTGATGTCCAGGCATGCTGCAGTGTGAGGCAAATCAAGTAAGAAACAAGACTCAAGTCTTCCGTCTCTTCTGCCACGAATGTCTGCGGGTCTTTCACGACCGACTTATCAACACTCAGGATAAGACCTTTTTCAACACAATCATCTGTGAGATGGCTAGTAAGAGCATACACTTACTTCACATTTCTGAATCCACTGAATCCAAATATTTGTTTCGGAACAGTTTTTTGACCTCCTATCTTTCCCTGTCAGGCAAATATTTTGATATGAACTTAGAGCCCTCAGACTTTGTGACTCAACCCATAATTTTTGGAGACTTCATTAAGGTATACCTTAAAACATTATGTTTACACACGTCTGAAAACATGGTACAACACTTATGAATTATCGTTTGGATCCATTTAATAATTGCTGCAGGTTGGTTGTGAGAGAGAAAACCGTCTGTATGAGGAACTGACAGACATGAATAAGATCCACGCTGTCCTTCAGGAATATCTCAATGATTACAACATAACCTTCTCCAAAGATATGAAGCTGGTTTTCTTCCAGGACGCCATTGAACATGTTTCTAGGTGAGTGTAAAGTCACACTGCAAACATAAGTAGCTGTGCATATGCACATGCAGATCAGCAAAACTTTGATGCTTGCTGTTTAATTAGGCATGATAAGAAAAATTTATGGAAAGAGTTTTTCACAATTTTTTTGTTTCATTTTACATTAAAATCACATTTACATGTAAATTATGTTCGCTTTTTTATGTTTATTTTAACCCGTATAGCACTTTGGCAACTTCGGTTATTTTAAATGTGCTCTATAAATAAAGTTTGACATGACTTGACTTGACAATTTCTGACCTCAGCTTACTGAATTGTTTTATTATTATTGGTTCATGTGAAATTCACTCAGCTGCAAGGGCTGTTTTTTTGGAAAAGCCCCCACAATGGGGAGGGATTTGAAATAAGATCTTACACAAAGGGGAGAGATTTAGAAATAGAGATTATGGTCTTGAGCTTTTACTTTACCCTGATTTTTTTAAAACTTTAATATCTTTCTTTTATGGCCATTGTTTTGTTTCGAAATCCACCTAAAGGTTCTATCTACCTTGCCTTTTAAATCTGATTTTAAAGCAATTTTAATAGTTTTTTTTTCTTTTGTTTGGCCTTTCTACTTGTAGAATTGCCCGTATGATTCGCCAGGAGAGAGGCCATGCTCTGCTGGTGGGGGTGGGAGGTACCGGTAAGCAGTCCCTCACTCGTTTAGCTTCTCACATGTGCGGCTACCGCTGCTTTGAGGTCGAGCTGAGCCGAGGCTACAACTACGACACCTTTCATGAAGACTTAAGGAGGCTTTACAAGATGGCTGGTGTGGAGGGAAAAGATATGGTGTTTCTCTTTACAGACAATCAGGTATGAATGAAGGGTTTACCTGCAGTAAAACAGTTCAAGTTTACTCTTTTTGCTGTTTTTTTCAACTGCTGCACTCTCTCTTGCATGTTGTAGATTATAGTGGAAGAGTTTTTGGAAGATATCAACAACATCTTAAACTCTGGCGAAGTGCCGAGCCTTTTTGAAAAAGAAGAGCTGGAGCAGGTTCTGGCTGCCACTCGTCCTAAAGCCAGAGAGGCTGGAATCAGTGAGGAGAACAGAGATGAGGTATACACAGAAATAAAAGGTTACACAGTGCTATGTGCTATGCGTACATGCAGCTTGATGAATTCCAACTGTCTTTGTTATCATCAATAACAAAAATCAAGGATAACTTGATTTAAAAAGTTAAACACACGTAACTAAAAAAGGTACAACAAACTAAAGTCAGGATCAGAAATAGAAAGCAAATTATCTGTTTGCTGTTGAGCAATAAAACATGCAAACTTTGCCACATCTTCCCTGAGCTGCTGCCAGAGTCAGCAACAGTCAGAATAAAGCAGGATATCAGGTAAATCAAATCTTATTTACCAACTTATTTACCATCTCCACGCCCCCACATCTAACACATGTATGTTAATTGTATGCTTTTTAAAAATCTATTAAACAAAGCTATCCAGGCCTTTCCTCCCCATATTTTACCAAAATAAACAAATGAATAAGTAAGCAATTTAGAAATAAACAGAGCACAGACATAAACGTTAAACACAAGTCCACTTTGTGGGCTTTATAATAAACTATGAAGTCATCCACCTCTGACTAAGGTGGAGGACTTTTGCCTTCCATTCCTGGAAGAGAGAAGCTTGATCACACTATGCAGTTTTTGAAATAAATATGTTTTCGAAAGATAATATCTGAATAACTGAAAGTATTCTCACCTGTGAAATGTGGATTTTTTCTATTTTTATCTCAACCAGAGACCTTCTCTGTATCAGTGCTGATTGTCATCTTCACCTCAGGCTTCAGACTAGATAGGAGCTGTTTCATGTATTTTATGCTTGAGCAAACCCGCTCACAGTATGTTGATCCGAACATGTAGAAGACTCTAGACCATCTGACAGAAAACAGATCGCCTCACAGACCTTTTGAACTTAGACACCCAGACATGTTTATCACTCATCAGTATATTTGTAATGAAATAATTTAACACTATACACTCCTCAGACTCTTTTTTTCTTCTTGGATTTATCTGTGATGATTGTAATGGGAGTCAGAAGTGCATATAGTGAGAGAAATAAGTATTTGACCCCTTGCTGATTTTGCAGGTTTGCCCACTTACAAAGAATGCTTATTTTTCCTCATCAGATGGTTATCAATTTTTATAAATTCATATGATGTGATTTTCTGGAATTTTCTTTGGGATTCTGTCTTTCACTGTTAGAATGTACATATGATTAAAGTTATAGATCGTTGCATTCTTTGTAAGTGGGCAAACCTGCAAAATCAGCAAGGGGTCAAATACTTATTTCCCCCGCTGTATGTTCCAAGAGCAGAGAAAAGCATCCACAATAGAATGGAAATTATATAGAAGTACTAATATTGAATTTACATAAATAACACCCATACATAGCAAGCCCAAAAATCACATGCGTAGTCTGGATAATCTGAACTAATCTCTAATGTTTTCGGCCTACTGACGTGAATCCTGTGTGTCGTGGTGCCTTCAGGTGTTCCAGTATTTTATTGCTCGTGTCCGTGAGAGGCTGCACATCGTTCTGTGCATGAGCCCTGTGGGCGATGCCTTCAGGTCTCGCTGTCGCATGTTTCCGTCCCTGGTCAACTGCTGCACCATCGACTGGTTTGTGCAGGTACTGTTTCTGGACAGTATTAGTATTTTTTACTAAAATCCTAAATGTTCTGGTTCTATGGACATCGAAATTTGATGCTGGTCCGGGCACAAATTTAGAAATATCGTTTTTTTTCTTGAATTTTTTTAAATAACATTCTTTCCCCTCCTCTTAGTTTTAATACTTCCTTTATATCTTCCACCATTCTCTTCACCCACTGTTGGTCAACATTGTACTTTGGTTGATAGTGAGCTACTTCTTTAACTTGCAAATGTTTTTGATTTGTCTCTTTCTTGGATTTTCTAGTTATCATATTTATTCATATGTTGCTTTTCTTCTGAACCAGTGCTGAGAGTGCAATGAGCAACATTTCCTTTTGTTTACTTTCCCTTCCTCTCTTCTCTCTACCTTATGGTTGGTAGTGGCCTCGGGAAGCACTGCTCTCTGTCTCTCAGGCATTCTTCCAGGATGTAGATTTTGGCAAAGAGGAGCTGAAGCAGAGGATCTCAGCTATGTGTGTGGAGACACATTTGAGCGTCACCGATATGGCTGAACACTTCTACTTAGAGCTGAGACGCCGGTATTACACCACGCCTGCCTCCTATCTGGAGCTCATTAACCTCTACCTGAGCATGCTTGAGAAAAAGAGAGAGCAGTTGATTCAGGTATGTCTAAAAACAATCAGGGACTCATTTTCAGGTGTGGTGTTGATAAGGCTCATATCATATTTCCTCATATTCTAAAAACCATGTCCAACATGATGTAACAGATGTGTTTTCTCCGTGTACTGAAGGCCAGGGACCGGGTGAAGAATGGCCTGGCCAAGCTGCTGCAGACCAATGAACTTGTTGACAAAATGAAAGAGGAGCTGTCTGCTTTGGAGCCGGTTCTAAAACAGAAATCCACTGACGTTGATGCCCTAATGGAGAAGCTGACTGTGGATCGGGAGAGGGCTGATGAGGTGGGTTCATGTTCTGATATGTTACGTCATCACAAAACTTTCAAAAGGGCATTTTTTGTACATAGTTTTATAGATTCCTCAATGATTATACCTTAAGCCCCTGCCACGACGTTATGATATTTTGGTCAAAATCCCATAAGGATGAAGCCCAATAGCAGTTCAGTCCCCCTGCCTAACCCTAACCCTAACCCTAACCCTAACCCTAACCCAAAACAGCCCCGTTCAGAGCGCTCGCTTTGGAGTGCCTGTCTCTTTAAATGCAAATGAGACACAGGCAATCCACCCACTTCTTCAGGGAGGTGTGCCCACGTCGGCACGCTAACGCTACCATGCTAACGCTACCATGCTAACGCTCACGCTACCAGGACGTCTCCACAGATAGGGGAGTAAGCTGAGGGGGGGGGGCAACATGCAGGTGAAAGGCTGGAATATTATAATGAGCTAGAGCTAATGACGTCAGAAACTACCCACTCCTGAAACCTCCTGATTTATCTCCTGGATTCAGACTGAGGCAGCCCACAAAAACATGACCGAGTCATTTTTTTTCACACTTTGCCTGCTGATAGGCCCTCCACAGTCCCAAATGTACACAATCAAATGATTTAAAAAAACTTGGTTTTGCATAATATGTCCCCTTTAACGTTACTGTAGCTTCTCGTTCGCCTGTCCGAGATAGAGATAGAGGAATTACATCGGTTTTATGTGAAGTCCTTGGACACTGCCTCGATAAAATTCGGCGCCGACATGAGGATGGTGAAGGTGCAGACGATGGAGAAGAGCGAGAAGGCCACCAGGCACAGGCGGTCCACCACGGCCGCCGCGAACTTCCACTCGCTGCAGACCTCCTCGCCCTGGTCCTGCTCCCGGAAGCGGTTGGCGATGAACTGCACCTCCTCCAGGATGCGCGAGATCTCCGGCACGTGCTCCAGCACAAACGTCCGCGTCTGAACGTCCGGCTGGTTTCCATTTCCACCACCTCCACCTCCACTGGTATTCCCGCACAGCATCAGCCCCCCCGAGGAGTCCGCGTTGGGGGGGAAGGCCGGGTTGTCCGTGCCCATGGAGTGGTAGCTGAAGTACAGGTTCATGTTGCCGTTAGTGGTGGTGGAGGTGGTCTGAGTTGAGGCCTGCCCAGGGATGGTGTTCATCTGGATGCTGCTGGTGCTGGTGTGGGTGGGGGAGTGGGAGTACTTGTAGTTCGGCGGGCAGTTCGAGCTCCCGGATGTTTTGCTTTCCTCTCCGGGCTTTTTCATGCGCAGGAACCAAGCGATCCAGTTGAGGAGAATGACTCGCACCTGAGAAAAAGACCCGGAAAGTCAAATGAGTTTAGCCTACAATCAACAAGTTTCCAATCCAATCCACCTTTATTGACTCGCACCTGGTCAGGGGGAGGGAAAAAGATCCGGAAAGTCAAATAAGTTTAGCCTACAATCAAAAAGTTTCCAATCCAATCCAATCCACCTTTATTTATATAGCACGATTTAAACAAACACAGGGTTAGACATGTTTTTCCTATCATTATATTCCATCCAGCCATCCATTATCATTTCCACTTATTATTAAGAGAACTGGAGCCTATCCCAGTGGTCAATGGGTGAGAGGCAGGGTCACCCTGGACCTATCATTATATTCTAAAGCTATTTCTAAACAGGGTTTTAACTTATCTGTGTGGGGAGACCTAATGTGTCTATCCTGTTTTTAGCATTTACTGAAGCAACCGCCGATGTAAAGAAAGACTCAAAAGAAATTGGGAGGATTTCTCACAACGTGTTGACATGCTCTTCTTAAAATTACATTCAGAATGTATTATTCTCTTGAAGCTTTCAACCAAAATATGCTTGTGTTTGTAAAAATATGTTTTAAAAAAAGGCCGATGCCATGTATAACTGATAACTTAGTGAATGTTTAACTTTAAAGGGCTCAGATATGAGATTGTCACTTAACCCCTTAATGCCAAATGTGTCATATTTGATACACACGGTTTCTGAAATCTTTTGGATCTGAGACTTTTTGCATCATTCAGTGGTAAAAGCTTTGCTCAAACCCCTGTTGTACACATTCAGATATACCTGATAACAGCCAGTAGAAGACTACACCAACATATATTTTTTACTTATTGCACGCTAATTTGATCAAAATAATTTCTGTTTTTTTTCTTCATATGTTGTTGAGGGGCCAAAGAAAGACTTCAGACTAAAAAAATCCAATATTCTTCCTATTTTTCCTGGATCGGGCTTTAAAGGGTTAAAGGAAAAGTCAGTCCTATAAAATGAATCAATCTCATCATGGACTTCATGCTCTCTCCTCACTTTTCATAGATGTCATTTAGAAGCATCAATTTCAATTTCCAATAATACTTCCCATGTCCTGATCGTTTGCGTAAACCTAATGAGAATAGAGAGAAAGTTATTAAAATATCTAATATGAGGCCGGTGCTGTTTAAAAAGGAGCATCTGTTTATTGTTTCAGGACTAGCTGAAAAGCTATAGCTACTTAATAAGATGGACCTTTTCAGATCTGCCTGGTATTCAGATGACAGTAAATGCATCATTTTTTAAAAATATTCTTCCAGAAATGGTAAAACCTACCCATTTAGGCATCTTCCCTCCCCGAGGATCGTGGTGGTGGAACTGAAGAACCAGGACGGTCACCACCACAGACAGCCCCACGATCATCATGGTGCTGGCAAAGTACTGAGCTAAAGAGGTAAAGAGGGGAGCAAACACATCTGTGTGACACATCTCAGAAAGGACAACAAGTCTTTAGCCATTTATGTGGAATTCAGTGACATTTTTGAACATTTAAAACAACGTTTTAACAAGCAAACATTATAGTATCTTGGGTGGACAGCAGCTATGTCAGTCATTGTGGTAAGGATGGCTAACGATTGGTTTCCAGATCCATGATCCAGCCAAAACACGCAAACAGGCTTGACTAGGGAGGAAGTCCCAGACACGAGGATATGCATATTACATGCATGTAGGCGAGCGCACAGCCCTGTCTCCACACATTTAATGCTGCTGTGACCTTGCAGAAAGCACTGACCAATCAGACGAAGCACGCAGTTTACATTTTCGTGCCCGAGTATAATCAGAAGTTGCCCGTAAACCTGTCGGGTTGTGTATAATATGAGGCGAGTTCCTCTAAATTGAATAGATCAGTTCTGCTTCATCTACAATGTGCTAATATAATCTTGTGAAAGAAACTTTGCGAATGCATTTGCATCCCTGAGACGATACTGAGCAGAAGCCCCCCCCGAATCTCTGAGCCTGCTGCTTGTCTATTCTAGTCTGCATCAGGATGGTGTTACACAACACAACACAACACAACACGAACACTGTGTGTATTCTCACACACCGCATTAGCAAACACCCAGCTCTGTATTCACACTCTTCTCTCCCAGTCACAACACAGGGGTCCATCTTTGCAGAAATAAAGCTGTGAGACCGACCGCCTTCAGGTAAGAGACGTAAACATTTATAAACATACACTGGTGATCACATCCAAATGTCTGAAATTAAGCAGTCTGATTAGAAAAGATATCCTTAACGAACCGTATCCAACCCTGTGGGGATGTGTAGCTGGCTAAGGGAGTGCCTGTAGCTT